CAAAAAAAAAAAAAAAAGACAAGAGGGAAGCCCTGTTTGTTTTCTTCTGAACCTCTCAGGTGACGACTCCCATCCTTCAAATGCCTGAGCGTCAAGCCTTCCCGTCACCAAAATCCCTTCTGTCTGCCTCTCACAGCCAAGAAAGAGGGGCAGGCGCACAGAAGTTAGTCTAACTCGAGCAGGTCAGGGGGCTCCAGCCCTGAGAGCACTGCCCCTTTGTAAGTGGTAACAGTTTTCAAATACCTGTCTCCCTCCACCCACCCGCATGGATCCCCTCTGATATCACGTATTTGTATTATTCTGAAGGCACCAAGAACAGAGCCAAGGTGTGAGCAACTCACCCACCTGCAAGGAAAACACTGAGGCTTACTTAACTGCACTTGGTAACGTGAGCTCGTCTCGTGACGATTTCCAAGTCACTGAGTCCCCTGCCTCACAAGTGTCAACCACAGGGCAAGAGAAAGGAAGTATCGAAAAGGACAGCGTATCGACCAATCAGATGACAGAGACAGACAGGGGAGAAAACCTGACAGCCACCTACAGGCCTGGCCTTCTAGACCGAAATACTTAAAGGCCCAGTAAGTTATGCAAACAACTATCTGTGTCAGGCCCAGGCCAAAGGGGCTAGCTCGAAGGGGACGCTGGAATGCTGGCAGCCCCAAATCGGGCCACCCATATTAGATAAAAAGTACCTAGTCTCTCCCCTTAACTCAGGCTCCTCCTGCCCCCTTTCTTACTAACTTGACAAAAAAAAAAAAAAAAAAGGCCAACCAAAGTGTGGCTGGCCCGCGGGGTCCCTTGGGATAGAGGCAGCGGTCAGTTGTGCTGGGACAGCTCTGACACGAGGGAGGAGGAACACTCACCTTAAATCTGTCAACTGCGACAGAGGCTTCTGAGAGGGACTTGACTGAGAACGGTGTTACTTTCAAAGCAAAGGTCATGGAATTGAAGACAGTCACTACTGTGAAAGCCTGAGAAGACAAGAGAAGAAACCAGCCTGGTCAGGCCACGTGACGGACACGGCGAGGAGCAGTTCTCTTCCAGGTCAGGAAGGCTGCCATTGGCCGTCAGAGGCCACTCGGAGTCAGACACCCTCTTCAAAGGTATGGTTGTTATGGGACGGTCCATGAACATTCTCAGCTGGGACCAACAGATGGTGAAATGGTTACGTCGCTGGACATAGTCAACCATGATTTGAGTCCTGGGCCCAGCATGCCGGGCACGTGTGCGTGCATGCCCAAAATCCCGAGAGGAGAATGAGGGAGAAGGGACTGCAGCGTGGTCTTCCCCCGTGGGGCGATTTCTTGCTTTCTGTCTCTCCAGAGAGCATACACACTATAGCAAAAAAAGTCTCTCTTAAAAAAAAAAATTTCTCAGTAAATCTGAACCACAAAATGATGTGTATTTTCAGAATTAAGTCCAAATTTAGGCTGACCAAAAATCACCGACCCACTATTTGTGCATTAAGGGCTGACTCCAACTCTTTCCATTCTTGACTTAATTACACTAAAAACAAAACAAAACAAACTGCTAATTCATTTTTTTTTTTTTGAGAGGTTTTTGCTATAGGGCGCATGCGCTCGCCAGACAGACAGAGAGAGACAGAGAGATAGAAAGTGAGAAATCACCCCCCCAGGGGGCATGGTCATGCCGCAATCCCTTCTCCTCCATTCTCCCCTCACACGCGCCCGGCGTGAGTTTTAAGCCACCGGGTCCGGGACGCGAACCGTGGTTGACTATGTGGGAGACCAGCAACATAGCCATTACGCTAACTGCTGGTCCCAGAAACTGCTAGTTCTTAGGGAGACCTTCCATCTAACAATACGAGGGCTAAGACACCTCTGCGAGTGGCACTAATAAAATGCACCCGCCAGTCCCCAAGGGCCCGACCTGTGCTGCTGTCAGGTCGAAGCCCAGCGTCATGTGGACAGAGAACGTCACCACGCTCGCGATCACCACCACGATGGGAGCCACGCCCACAGTGATGCTCTGGAAGTAGCCGGCTTTCTCCAGAATCCGGCGCTCCTCCTCTCTGATTTCTGGAAAGAAAAAGAAACCAGTTTGAAAGCAAGTCAAAAGAAACCTTGGGTTCCTGCTCCTTCCCCTCCAAACAAGACCTCTGTATTTCTTTTTTTTTTCTTCTTTATTTTAATTATTATTTTTTTTTGGAGAGGTTTTTGCTACAGGGCACATGCGCTCGCCAGACAGACAGAGAGAGACAGAGAGACAGAAAGCGAGAA